TGTTTTTTATTTAAATATTTTTTGAGTGTAAATCGTAAATAATAGGTACATATTCTAAATGAAAAACAATAACATCATACAAATTTAAACTTTAATTATAATTGATTTAAAAATTAATTCTATGTAACTACTTAATTATTATATTTGTTCAGCTAAAATTTATCTCATTTTTATCGTAGTTATTAAAATTTATCAAATACCTATACCTTTGTAAAGTCTTGAAGTTCGTTATACGGAAAACGAAATTTCAGTATGTATTTGTAAAAAATAAATTACAAGGTTCAGAAAGCGTGGACAACATGGCAAAGCTATTGGGTATTTCAAGAAAAGCAGTGTTAAATCGTTTTAAAAAAGAATTGCAACAAATAGCCATTCAGGTGTTACAAAAAGTATTTTAAACTATCAAATCATGAAATAGATCACAAAGTAAAAATCATTTATTAAATTTATACTTATGTTTCAGGAGCGAAATTTTTAAAATTTATAATAATTTTTATTAAAAAACAATCATTATACAAAATTATTAAATTTTGATATTTAAAATCTGAATCGATTGTCACCTAATTAATTATCATCAAAGTACGTAAAATATAATACGCGCAGAATAAGTCATCACTGATTGACTATGAATACATTTGAAATAGTGTCAGATCAAGGTTTGGTATGGTTTAAACATATAATTAGTAGTTCTATAATTTGAACACATAAATTCTTGATCAACTTAAATTATCTCATATTCTTTTGCAGAACAAGATTACAGAAATTTGGCTGTAGTCCACGTATTACTAATTAGTATTTATTCGAATTCAAAGGTAGTGATCGTTGTGATTGAGAACTTACATATCTTGAATATTTATGCCTCAAAAATAATTTACACTCTTTAATTTATATTTGGTACAAAACTATAAAAATCTATGTTGATTATCATCTAATTGATTTTCACCAATATACGAGAAATTTAATACGCGCATATACATAGAATTAGCATTAAATAATTTTAGTTAGTGGCTAGTACTTCATTTACAGTTAATGAATTAATGCCAGGTTAAAGTTCTGTATAATTTTAACATAAAATATAAAATTTTTCCATAACTGAAAGCCATAAATTACTGATCAATTTAATTTATCTCATATTAGTTTACGAAAAAAGATTGTAGAAATTGGCTGTTGATCGAGCTTTGCTAATTAATATTTATTCTTATTTTGAATAGGTTTCTCTTGCTAAAAATCATTTTAATAACTTCATAATTGTGAATAATTCTACCATTAAATTAATTTGATGCTTGGTAACTTTTTTAACTTCCCGTAGAGTAAGTTATTGTAATCGTCCAAAAATCGAAATTGAATTGTTTTACATTTCTTCACGTTTTGAATGTTTCTGAACATTTTGGCATACCTCAGAAAAAATGGATGTGTGTTTGTATATATGTATGCATGGATACAATTTTTCGTCCACGTTTTCGGGCGCACGGATCAACCGATTTGAATGGTTCACCTAACAATCGATTTCTATTGATAGCGAGATGTGCTGATTAGTTTTTGGCAAAGGCAGGTCCAGCCGTTTTGGAGATACGGTGCAAAGAGTGCAGAAAATAGAAATCGTGTTTTTGAGAGAATGGATCATTCGATTTGAATGATCCAAAAAACATTCAATTCGTAATGATGGGGAGAAGTAGTGATTAGGTCTAGCCATTTCGGAGATACCAAACTAAATGGGCAAAAATGGCAATTTTTTAGAGAAATGAGCATCCGATTTTAATGATTCAAAAAACTTTCTGCTGTGTTGACAAAACGATTGATTTTGGGAAATCCCAATTTTTTAATTTTTTAATTTTTTTGTTTGAATATCGAAAATAAATCGAATTTTAATTTTTTTCTAGCTGAAGTTTCAAAGCTCACTAATATATTTAAAATAAATAATTTTAACTTTGCAATTCAGTTTATATAACTCTTATAAATATTAGACAATGTCCTTTTTTTAGTTAGTTTTCTGTAAACATATACGTATAAGTTTCAGCATTTGAAAAAATAATTTATTTGAAACCATTAAATATTTCTCGAATATTTCATTACGGTACGGTTAGTTCCATTAAATTATTTTGACAACTATCAAGTTTTCAATTGTTTTATTTGCATAATTTGATTCAAAATTATTTATGAAATTTTACTTACTGTATATTTAATTAATAGTATAAAATTATCGTAATGGCAGGTTGGTTCTCGTTACTTCTTGCTTATGCGTTACATATCGTGGACACCTGTTTTTTCATCGATTCTGTGACTAATTTAGTGACAACGCAGCAAATAACCCTCTTTTCTACAATGGTTTTGATAAATTACTCATTAAGTATTTGTCCGAAAATGCCATTGATACTGCATTGGTTCACAGTATTATTTTCCCAAGTAATGTTTATAAAATGTTCGAGTGAAGTTCTTGTAAATTTAATGTGGATGAAGTCACAAAAATTGGTATATGCCATGAGCCCGTGGATTTTGGAAAACCTGTCAAGTGCCATGGAAACGTTTTTTGGATCAGACTGCGAACATATTATTCCGTTCCTGGAGAACCACCTATTTTTGCACGTTTTGCGGTACACGGCGGCTCTGACCTATTCGATGCTGGCTCTTCACATGGCGGGCTACATTAACGCTAGAAATTTGATTAAATATTCCACGGAAGCTGCAAGGGTTTGTTTAAATTTTATTTTTAAACATTCCGTAATGATGTTCGTGCGCTTTTCTGCTGTCTACCTCTTCGTTCAAATCTTCAATTTTAATTCGATATTTAAATAATAAAATAAAATATATCATAAGGTGTTATATTTGAATCAAAATGCTGTTAATGCAATTAGTTTTACAATTTGAAAAATGCAAATTCTAATTGTTACGTATTTTCAACTGTATGTAAAAATTGTATGTGATTTTGTTAAACATGTATAAAATGTCAAAAATAAATGTTATGAATGTGGAGTGTATTTTTTATATATTTACTGCAATCTATGTTTTTGTTTAAACCATTTTATTTCATTATTTCATCAAGTTTAAATTATTGTATTAAATCATAGTACAATTGTATATATAGTTGTTCCTTAGCGTAACGGGTAAGCACACTGCCTTGTGTGGACTGTGAATTATAATTTTACAAGCTTGTTATCGTTTTTTTCCAATCTCCTATAAATTTTTTGTTAGTTCTTTGCTATTTTCTATTACAGAATCCTTTAACATTAGAAAAACACCTTTACCTAGAAAGATGCTTTTCTCCTCATTTGTTTTCCTATAACACTCATTACGTTTTTTTAATATTATTGTAGTACGAATATAAGGATTATTATGATTGAAACTAATATTGAATTAATCAGCCAATTCTAATGTAATATTTAAATATTAAAATAAAATATTGTATGCTGTTTTATATTTAAGTCAAAATTTTGTTAATGCTATTAATTTTAAAGCTTTCAAAATGCAAATTATAATTATTACATATTTTCAACAATATGAAATAATTACTATGTAATGTTAAACATGTATTAAATGTAAAAATTAAATGTTATAAATGTGGAGTATATTTTTATATAATGTTCTATGGCGTAACGGTTAAAGCCCACTGTCTTGTGTGGACAGTATTTACTGTTTACTCAAATTTGTCTAATCAAAAGAGACCGTGAACTATAACATTACAAGCTTGTTATCGATTTTTTAATTTTCTAATCGCATATGAATTTTTTGTTAGTTTTCTACTATTTACTATTGCAGAATTTTAATCTTTTAACATTTGAAAAATACATTTACCAAAAAATGATACTTTTTCTTGTTTGTCTTCATATAACACTTATTACGTTTTTTAATATTATTGGAGTACGAATATTATTGCTTTACTTACTTTCACTAAAGCAACAGATGATAATGATTATTGTAATTGAAACCTACGATTGAAACTAATATTGAATTAATCATCAAATTTTAATATTAGGTGAAGAAGTTACTAAAATTTTGCGTTTAACAATTTTTTTTTTTCAAATTAGACTTCGCAAAATTTCATGAGTAGATCATAGTATATAACTAGACTAATATAACGATAAATGGGGTTTAAATTTCGTGTATTAGTAAGACAACACAAGAAATACTCTGGACGCGTTAAATAATTCAGGAAATAACTAGAGAAATTGAAGGCACTTTAAAGAGTTATATAACTTATGGAGGATATAACTTCATGTGAGGATTTATATCCACAAACATAAAATGCTCCGAGGTAGCTCAACTCTATTTTATATTATATTATATTACTGCCAAAATATACAATATAAACAATTTTGTTCTATGATGTAAGTTTAAAAAAACAGTTATAATAATTGATTATTAATATTCGATTACCTAACAAATTTACCTATTTCAGAAAAAAAATGAAAAATTGTTTTCTATTTTGCAAAATAATAACTTCCCGTAGGGTAACTTATTGTAATCGTCCAAAAATCGAAATTGAATTTTTTTGGACAGGTGATAAAAATTCTAGGAAAAATAGATTACTGATTTTGGAACAAGATGCGTAACAATGAAAGGGATGAGGGTTTATTGTCGCTATCCTGCATGGAGATAATAAAATATAATAATTATACCAGGGTTGGGAATGAGGCGTTAACAATGTCCTTTATATTGAGTTCGATTCATTAAATTTTGTTCATTTATTTTTCTGTAAACATATGTAAGTCACAGAATTTACATTAATCTATTTGAGAACATTTAATATTCCTCGAATATTTCATTGCGGTACGGAAAGTTCCAGCAATTTACCATAAAGCACGATGCCATACACCACTAGTTTTGTTTTTTGCTCCACACTATCTTCATGCTGATTACAAATTTTATTCAGTTATATTTCCTGAAGTTTGCCTCAATGCACAATCTCATACGCCACCAGTTATTAGATTTTATCCATCAGCAATGTTGATTTTACTTTAAAAAGCACAAAATTAATTTACTGATGCATATTAAAACACTTTCAGGACTGGAAAGCTGCACTATCCCACGGATGTATGCGGGCCGTTGTTCGAAGAGGAGCTTGAATTTTGGGGGCTGGACTCGAACCAAGTAGAGCCGTGTTGTTGGATGACGTATACCCAGGTCAGTAGATAATTTTAATTGAACAGGCTGTAATCGTGAAATGGCGCATAATAGTAATAAAATAATTACCTATATGTTTTATTTATTTATCCATGCCATTGATATTTTATGTGATAAAAATTATGATAGTTGGAAGAAATATACATTATATGGCACTTGTACTGAACTGACAATCATTGGTACAATTAATTTTTTACTGTAATTTAACATATACGGAAAGACCCACTGGTAAAAAAAAACACCATCAATATTTCAAAAACAAGTGAAGTTAAAAAAAAATAACAATAGTATTTGAAAGTAAAGGGCAAAAGATGTGTAACCACGCGATGTGAGTCATTGCCTCAAATTACACAATGTTTCCATTAAGATATTTACGGCCAAGTTTAAGAATCTATTACAAAAGTATTTTCTCTCGTTGTTAGGTTTTTTGGTTGTGAGTACTGTTGTTTAGTTTGCGAGACTTTAATACAATTTACTATTTAGTATTTTTTAGTATTGTTAATTTTAAGTTAGATTCAACAGTTTCTTTTTTATAAAATTATGAAACTTTACACGTGTGTGGGGTGAAAGATCCAGGTAATACATTCTTGAAAAGCAGCAATAAATACAGTTCTACAATTATGAATAAACTGAGAATTTTACTGAATATAGTCAGATAGTTGTTTGATATGTATTAATTGATATGGTTTTCACAATATATACAGCATATTCCGCTTAACGCGGGGAAGCGTAATGCGAAACAGCTAAATGAGGCTATCTTTACATGGAAATATTAGGGTTAGGGGTGTTAACGCCTTACTGCAAAGCCTGGCCTAATAAAATTATATAAGTATATTTTAACTTTCATTGCAATAATAAACCCTTATCCATTGGTTTACTATTTCGAATTATAAAGTAATCCCTATTATCGTAATGCATCCTGTCCTTAAATGTGCCATCGTACAATTAACACATATTTCTAAGAAATTCTGATCACCTGTATCCGGTTCAATTCCACGTATCATGGAATTACCGGTCAATACCTGATTGGTTAACAAATGTAACATTCAGAAAAATCATATTAAATTATAAAACTTTTTATATTAGTATTAACATAAATTCCAACTATGTATCATTCAGTTTTAAATAAAACTTAAACTAATGAACATTAGTAATATTTCAACAGTCGAACTAGCAACAAGTATATTAACTCAACTTCATAACATATCAAGTATTTCATTCAAATATACAAATAAAACTATCTGTCATCTTTCTAATATTTATGAGTCTAACATAGTCAATATCTAATTATATCTGATCCTTCAACATTATAAACAAAAAGTGGAATTTTTAACAAAGTTTGGTATTTTATTTAAATACACAATTAAAACTATCTATCATCTTTTTAATGTATGTGTCTAATATAGTCAATTAATAATTATATGTGATCCTTCAACATTATAAACAAAAAGTGTAATTTGTAACAAAGTTTGGTAGTATCTAGTTGATCACAAACTCTTTTCGTAATTCGTGTTATGAATTAATCGGGTCATAACAAGGGGAATATTGGCTTAATGGCATATTGCGGTCAATTTCGTCGTCAATCCATTTATACAATTGTTTTTATTACCTGTATGATATTATTTCTTAAACGGGTAATTCTAGTTGCAGAACTTGACTTGAATAAAAGAGCGCTAACTAAACAGCGTTAAGCGGGGTATTACTGTATAAATTTATTAACTTCTCGTAGGGCAAGTTATAGTAATCGCAAAAAAATAAAAAATGAAAATTTTTATATATATTTACGTTTTAAAACCGTCTGAACATTTCGGCATACTTTAGAAAAAATGGATGTATATGTGTGTCTGTGTGTATGTGTGTGTATGTGTGTGTGTGTGCGTGTTTGTATATGTGTGCGGATACAAATTTTCGTCGACGATTTCGGAAACACGGATGAAGCGATTTGAATAATTCAAAAAACGTGCTGATTAGTTTTTGGCAAAGACAGGTCTAGCCGTTCCGAAGATATGGGGCAAAAAGTGATCTGATCAAATTTTCATGAAAGCAGGTCTAGCGGTTTCGGAGATCTAGTAAAAAAAAGTAAAAAAAAAATGCCATTTAGCTGTCAAAAATGATCATTAGACATATGCACATCAAATTATCAGATATTTTATAGAAATTTTAACAATAAGTATAAATTTTGTTTACATTCCTATGGGTTCCGTATGGGTTTGAAAAAAAATTCAGAATTTCCAAAATATTACAAAATAAATTTTTCTTCAAAATAATTTTTGGTACCGGAAGTTCCAGCAATTTGCTTTAAGGCACGATGCCATGCGCCCCACTAGTATATAAATTATTTTATATATATTATTCCACTGCTACAAAATGGGACAAAATACTTTAGCTAATATGTAAAGTAATTCGGTGGCATTACTTCGAAACGGTATGCGGCTATTTTGCCCGGCGTCGAGTATTATCGGAAGAAAATCTGTTAGTTTGAATGAAGAATCATCATATCCGCAAAGGGTTTCTGGCTGATGCTACGGGGAATTAAGGTCAGTAAGTTAGCTTATTCCCAGCGGCGCCTGCCCGGCGCTACTTCACGCTGCGATATGCGGTCGCTTTATCTTCGCCCCTTGAATGGAGAGTATCCTTTTCGGGACCGGTAACCCTTTTGTGTTTAAAGCCACTGCGAGGGAAACCTTCAGCCGAATGAGATCGACCGAATGAACTCACTACACGCCCGCGGGCCACTTTTACTCCGAAACAGACAACAGACAACGAGATCGGCTCTCGCGATAAATGATTTAGCACCAGAAAAGAAACTCTGAATTAATTAATTATTTCGCGGATGCGGGCGCCGCTTCTATTCCAAGCACTAGCTTACTGTTCAATACTCTATTGTGTTCAGATTGATTTTTCAAAAGTTCTCAAAAAATATGTTAATCAATGGCCTTTACGCATATACAGTCAACGCGGTATGTGCGTACTGTGTGGTATGGGGACCGTGCTATAAAAAACTCGAATATAACATACAATTCAGAATAATTCGTACTGCGTTCTATGAAAACTGGCTATCGCGTTGTATGAGAACCGTCCTATGAGAAACTCAGAATTAGTACAAATCGCAGCATTTTTATTGTGTTGTATAGAGACCAAAAAATTCAACTTGAAGTAGGAGTAATACGAACGAAATGACGTGTACGACTCGTATAACATATGACATCTAATTTAACTACTGGGGTGCACGGCATCGTGGCTAAGGCAAATTGCTGGAAGTTCCCGTACCGTAATTAAAAATCTTGGTACGGAAACCAAAAAAATTACACAAAATGTGTACACATTATTAAAATCTCTATAAAATATCTAATATTATGATGTATATAAATATTTTTGACCGCCAAATATTTTAACTTTTATTTTAACTTATTCTTATATACACACATATACACATACACATACACACACATCCATTTTTTCTAAGGTATGCCAAACTATTCAGAAACCTTTGAAACCTAAAGATATATAAAAACTTTCATATTCGATTTTATGCGATTACTATAACTTATCCTACGGAAAGTTAAAAATTGGCGCGACGCAGTAGTCAGTTCAAACGTGTTTGCGTCTTCAACAGTTTATTTTATGAATGGATATCTCGGGACATATTTATTGTTATTTGTAATTATCTCATTTAAGATTCGAATCTTAGACTCGATCAAGTTTGTTGTTTTTGCTGCAGCCAATAATTTCTTTCCACATTCTTAGCGATTTAAAAATTTGAATTCTATTGGGGAAAAAGAAATCCATTATTTTTACGTGAACTTCAAGACTCTATTTAACATGTTTTGCATTGTCCGATTTAGGTCAAATATGCACCATTTTGTTCTATTATTTGTTGCCATTTTAATGGTAGCTTTATTATGCCTCTCTCATAAGTCTCGTGAAGCAGCTCAGACGGTGGCCAAACCGGGACTAACGGCCAGGAAGGTTCTGCTTTGCGTTTAGTGGGATTGGAAAGGAATCATTTATTACGAGTTGCTTCCATATGGCCAAACATTAAATTCAGACATCTATTGTCAACAACTGGACCGTCTGAAGCGAGCAATTGACCAAAAACGGCCAGAATTGGCCAACGGAAGAGGTGTCGTGTTCCATCAGGACAACGCCAGGCCACACACTTCTATAGTGACTCGTCAGAAACTCCAGGAGCTTGGTTGGGAAGTTTTGATGCATCCACCATACAGTCCGGACCTTGCATCCAGCGATTACCATCTTTTTCTTGCATTGCAAAACTTTTTTAGTGATAAGAAATTGGCATCAAGGGAAGAGTGTGAAAATCAATTGCTGGAGTTTTTCGCTAATAAGGACCAAGACTTCTATGAGAGAAGCATAATGAAGCTACCATTAAAATGGCAACAAATTATAGAACAAAATGGTGCATGTTTGACCTAAATCGGACAATGCAAAACATTTAAATAAAGTCTTGAAGTTCACGTAAAAATAATGGATTTCTTTTTCCCCAACCCAATATAATATATATATATATATATATATATATATATATAAAAATATATAAATATAAAATATATATATATAATTGTAATAAATTATTAAATTTGGCTGCTACTACATCATTATCAAGTCGTATTGGTATTTAGATACAAACCATATGGTTAAATAAATTTGTATCACACAACCGAATGACTGCGGTATAGAAACAGATATAGAGTTGAACCCTTAATGAAATAGGTCCCTTTACAAGAGGTACGCAGACGTTAAGGTGCATATCACTACTTACAGTTAAATTGATGCTAAGCAGCTTAAGGCCCATCTCTTACAGTTATGTGCACAAGCAATACCAGGATTTCAAGGGGTTCAATACCGAGAGAGGAGATAGCGATATATTGATACATTTAATTAGTATATACAGTCCAATTATATATATATATATATATATATATATATATATATACATCAGTAGATATTGAATATTGGAAATCCACATTATAACGTGTCCA